TAAATATGCCTACACATTTACACACCGCGTTTCTTTAGTTGCACAAAACGCCTTGAAAATATTTAAGCCAGAGATTTCTCCGTGGCTATACCATTTGTTACAATTTCCTCGTTAAATACGCCCGTAAAAAATGCTGCTAAATTGTGACAAATTATTATGTCCCTCTTGGATATAAAAAGAACGTTAAAATTATAGCAGCTTAAAGATCTTACTTGGTAAATATTGTTTTGTTTGTGGATAGGTTTAAATAATGATTTCAAACAAAACTATCTGGTTATGTAGTTAGCATTTGTTTTATAGTATTTTCAGAACCTTGGCGCACTAAAGTAACATCTTTTGAGCTTACTAAGATAATAGTCATTATTACGTAAAAACATATTTTTTTCCTACCTAAGCTGGTAGCCTTGAGAGGCTATTCCAGCGTAACCTTAACTAGTAGGTGAGCTCACGGGACTCAAACCTGACGACGTTGCTAACACGAACCCTAGCAAGAGCCGTGCTTCGCAGAATCTACCATCGGATCGGAAACGCGACCCACTGAGAAGATCCGGCGAGAAACTCAGTGGGCTGTGTCTGAGGGTTAATTTACTTGTCGAGCCCTTCGTCGCAAGCGACGGGTTTGACGAGAACGGTGACCGGTGCTTGGGGTACCTAAAAGCACCGTTAGTGGATCGGGAGGATCAGAGATGACGTGTTTTGGGCGACGTCGACTGCTTTCCATTCTTTCCGTAGGATCGGGAATTTAGTTACCGGCGGCCACGATGAGAGGGTTCTCGTGTCGTGCCGCTTTATCGAAGTGCGTAAAAACTATCTCATCAATGTAAAATAGAACATCGCCTCATTGGGATAGTGGATAGACATTTAGAAAACTTGGTATTTAATACGTGCTCTAAATTCGATGTGTAGTCGAAAACAAATAAATAAATAAATATAATGCTGAATAATACTGAAGGTTTCGACTTGACGTCTTAAAATTAGTCACGGAATTCAGGTTGTGAAGTCTATGGACGTAGCCATTTAATACCGACCCTGGGTTCATTTACCCCGCAAGCCACTAAAAAATAAATATTTAAAAAGTTTTTGTTTTAATTCCTTACCTTATTCACTGGTAGACTGAGGGACTATTCCAGCTACGCTGTGGAAGGTTTTTATGTTTTTTAAAGGTTCTTTCTTAGTGTAATTACATCAAGAACAGGTGCTCTTGTGATTTATGCTTTGCTAAGAGTCATAATATGATGAAATAAGATTCTAGTTTCCGTTGAATATAAATTTTGACTTTGTTAAAATGTGAATGAATTACCATGGTATCAATAATAACTACTGCTCGCAGAACCAACACTACAGTACTTAGTGAGCCATACGTAACAACAAGACTCTAGATCATCTGCTTCCAACGAATTCACGGGTACTTTGAAGACGTAACTATACTTGAGACCTTGGAACTTATATCTCAAGGTGGGTGGTGCATTTACGTTGTAGATGTCTATGGGCTCCGGTAACCACTTAACCCCAACAAAATAAAATTTAAAAAATGACGTTTCTCGTAGAATCTAGAAAAGCTTCCTGTGATAAGTAAGGTCGACAGGAAAGGACAACGCATTAAAAAGGTTTGAGCGCATAATTAAATGGAACGGGTTGATGGAGAAATTGGTCTGGGAAAATGAAGCTTAGATTTTTTATTGCCTAGATGGGTGAACGAGCTCATAGCCCACCTGGTGATAAGTAGTTACCGGAGCCCATAGACATCTATAACGTAAATGCGCCACCCACCTTGAGAGATAAGTTCTAAGATCTCAGTATAGTTACAACAGCTGCCCCACCCTTCAAACCGAAACTCATTCACGGCAGAAAAACGCAGGGAGGTGGTACCTATATGTGCGGACTCACAAGAGGTCCTACCACCAGTAAAATACAATCTTCTGCAATGAAAACAATGAAAACAAAGAAGAAGATTATATGAATGACGCTGTGTCCTCTTTTAAGATATATATTAAATATCTCTATTGCTTGAATCAATTTTATCCACTGAGACATCTCGGACGTAACTCCAGACATCAAGACGTTTAGTACTGCTTACGGCGCGCTCCCAACAGTAAAATGTTGCGGATTGGCAATAAAAAACCCTATAAACTCGACGTATAACAGATGAACTAGTTTCAGAACTGCAGCTTTACGACAACTTCACACTTAAATATAATAGAAATGTCGAATAATTTTCATGTTGCCCTTTTGTTAAATTTAAATTATATGGTTTTTATTTTATTTATTTTATTTTATTTTATTTATACTTTATGCACAAAACAAAACTTGTACACAGGCGGACTTAATGCCATGGGCATTCTCTTCCAGTCGACCATAGGGTGGTGCAGAGATAATGCATGGTAGGTGGTGCATGGTTTTGTGATTTTTTCTGGATGTCATTGTACGGCAGTTTAGCAATGCCATCCTACATATGCTACAAATTCGTCACAGGTTCTAATTTGAAGAGGTAGCTAATATGGAGACCCATTCTATTAATAATTTTTTTATTGCATGAGCTCACCCTACCGCATGTCATGGACATGACAATGTAAATACCACCACTCGTCTTAAAACATATTCTCCAAGTCTTATTGTAGGGCTTGTCCACTCTTCCAACCGATACTCGTGACTGCTTCGCAAAGAAAATAGACTTACTTGTGACGCCTATCCAGATATTCCTAAGAGAATATCTACGTTAATGTTTGATAAATCCTTTTATAACTGTAACAGTAGTTGATATACTAAAAACTGGAAGTGTTGAATTTGGAGTAATTTGCTATAGTAATATACCTATAGTTGCAACCAACGGAAGTGTCTGCGCAATCTTTTTTTTTTTTTTCTCGAATTAATATTGGCATTAATAATAGCAAGGCCACCCATAACCTAAGTCTGATAATAATATATTCAATAGCTGTGCACGGTGTGTAGTACTTGCACTTTTCTCTATTATTTTATGATTAGTATAGTGAGATACAGGGCAATGTAGCCTTTTCATATGGTTCTCGTTCTGGTTAAAAATAACTGAAGCGAGAGGCGAAGTATTTCAAAAAGCACAATTTTGTGGATAAATTAAACAAAAGATATTTTATTTAAAACAGTTTATTATCATTCTCGTCTGCTTCTTAAACATTATTTTAGACGTCAACAATAATATCAATCAAATAATTATACATATTAATACAGTAGGTATACAAGGAAAACGATTGTGCGATTCAGATCAATTTCAAGAATTTTCCCATCAAACAGTCTTATTATTTACATTATTTGTGGAGCTATCATAGCATGTTAATTAGTATGTCTATTATATACTATGTTTTCACAACATACGACTTTAGTTCTCAGTATAACTAGATTATAATGTAGGTCGGTCTCATAGTGTCATTTATTACCTCAATGTCGATGATTGCAGTTCAAACCATTTAGCACTCCTGCCTACAATTGGTGTATTATTCTGATTAATAATTATTACAAACAAAAATTAACAACTATAATATGAGCCCAGTATCATTTTCCCCTCTAAAACTTCAAGTTGTGTAACGAATGAAAAAATCACAGTAATTATGAATCTTTGCCTAAATATTCCTAAGAACATTGGATTGACGTTAAAATGTTACAATAATGCCAGTTACAACTGTCATACACTAAAGTAAATTTTATTATGAGGTTGATCACGTACTATCCACAAGCTCACGGCACATTAATTGATAAGTAATAGTGAATTCCGCCAACATCCAAGAACGAATATAACCACCCACATTGAGACACCGAAGTATTGTAATTTATAATAACACTCTTCGAACCAAACAAATGAATACTTAACAGCAGCAATTATGCGCATAGTGGTACTAATCCGAATGTTCAAAGTCACTCTGCCATCACTAAGTAAGTCAATAAGTTAAATTGTTTTCGAACTTAGACACATTGACGACAACTTTGGCCAGAAGTCTGTGAATGCAGTATTAACAGTATGCTATGTTTGTTTAAGAGGTTTAATATAAGTATAAATATATCAATATATTTAAGTCCTGAAACAGTTTTCAGATTTAACAGCATTAAAATTACTGTTTTGTGAGCAAGATTTTTTATGACACAAAATCTCTAGTCGCTCTAATCACTATTTATCGTTACCTTCACCTTACATATATACATCATTATAAAATTCACATTTACCTAAGTACATGTCATAAACCTTATTTTTAAAATAATCTTTCATAAATTTCTGTACTAATATTATTAAATAGAATACTAGAATTTCATTGTTCAGACTACCCACAGACACGTAATAACTTGTTTTGAAGGCTTTAATAAACCTCCGAAATGTTCACACATATAAGACCAGATACTAATGGTCCACAGATTCTACATCACTAGTTTAACGAAATTACAAAAAATATTAACTACAATATGTTTCTTCTAACACTCATCACACATTCTGGGTCACACTGATGTCTTTGTTCTGATGAATAATCTAAGTGAACCACATTCACTGCTTTATCAAAAGTAACCCTCGGTGTCGTCTCGAGTCATCGAGTTAATGTCACTTCCGTGTCACTGGAGCTTCTAGAACTCTCCTTAATAACATCTAGTTCTCTATTAGACAATGAGGAATTTCGAGAAAATTTATTCACAACACCATATTCATTTTGTCGTCCGTCTGCCACAGTGTCACAAGTTTCACGAATACATCCATTCGTTTCTTTATTTTCATCAGAATCATCTTCTGTTGTATCATTTACTTCTACTTCTAGCAAATTATTTGATTCACCGAGTCCGTAGGCGTTGAAACTTCGTTCATGACTGAGACTACGTATCCTATCGAGATTCTGTTCAAGAGTATGTATGTCATCATCGACACCATTAGAATCATCAAATTTCCATTTAATGTTCGAATTAAAGTGCTCCACTCCAGGATACATACCTATACTATTACTTCTATGCCCAAAAACTGGGCAGTTTCGGTATTCTCACAATTCCGGATGCCGTCCATTACAAGTCTTAATAAAGTTGCTCTCATCTAAACTAAGGTTAGAGCGCGATCGTCCGCAGTCCAAGCTTGGACTCGGTTTAAACAAACAAAAATCTGAATTTTTTAATCGACAGTGTCTTGAACATGATTCAATTTGAAAAGCTGATCTATCCAAATGACGGTAATCAGAGGGACCGTACCCTTCAAAGTATCTATGATCATATTTACAAGCATTTGTGGGGCAGCCTTTGAAGGACCCTGTACATCGGTGAGGGTGCTCTCTGTGGCAAGCTTTTTGAATAGCATGGAGAGATGTTGAGGAAACGGTGCGTTCCAAAATTTCACCCCAATATTTTTCTCCAAGTCCTTCGAATTCACCTTTTGAATTCAAATCAGACGGAATAGGCGAACCGCAGCATCCAGATCGTTTTTCATAGTTTTGAGGAAAAGGTTTCGTTCTCCTGCAGCATACCTATTTAACAATAATTACCAAGATTTAAAATATAATAAAATACTTAACATAAATTATGTGTTTACTTGATTTTGCTTACATAATATTGTAACAGCTCATTGCTGATTCTTCTAAAGTGTCCATTTAATAGCCAGTACAGGAAAGGATTCCAGAAACTATTACTCAACGCCAACCACGTCACGATAAAGTCCAGAGAAGGTGGAACCTGTAAATAATATTGGATAAACTGTAAATTATATATTAAAAACGTAATATTTAATTTATAGCTGTGTATAAAACAAAGATACCTTGCAACCAGTACAAGCCGCAACAACTTCCTGAATAGTAGCTGGCGTAACCATTACAATAAAACCCAAAGACATAGCGGCCATTGTTCTGGACGTGCTGACGCTATGAGGTCTCACAGGAGCTTGTATCTAAGAATTTTTACAAAATGTTTTAAATCTTTTTAGTTTATGTTATTCAAATTGAACATAATATGTACTTAGGTTTTCATAACAATTTAGATTTTTTGTTTGCCTTGCATGTCAATCGAACATCCGATCCATCTGACGTTGAGTGATTGCGGTCGTTTATAGAGATCAGTAATTCCAGGGGCATCACCTATGTTCAAACTTCATTTGAAAAACGACATGTCATGATGTTCGCGAAATAGCATGGAGAGTAGTTTATTCAATGGTGCAATGCCAAAAGGCATGACCGCATCATCTCAAACAATTAGATTGAGCACTCCCCATGGAATAGATGGGTGTGGTAAGAAAAAAATGAGATACAGTTTTTGAAAGCATTTTTACAAGACTGAAAATATCAATAACAAAGTAGAATAAAAAAGAAAGGAAAATTGAACAAGGAATAGCTTATTCTGTATATTGATGCAATTACTACGCGAGCGAGATTTTATTTATGATTCCAATGTAAAAAGTTACCCTATCTGAATAATGAATGTTCTCCTTTATGAGACCGTAAATCAAATACATTTTTTGAGTGCTCCGGTAATAAGGATTATTATTAGAGGTATTTCACTACAGATTCTTACCTCATGGAAAAATTAAGATACAATGAACCTTTAACATTTGATAACCCAATGTCACATAAGATCTAAACAGCTAAAAATACAGTGAAACCACTTTAGTTACAGTATATCGAATCCCATAATATTTTTATTACAATCTTCTAAGTAAAACTTGCCGGACACTATTGGATAGCTATAGATTTTTTTGTCTTGAATTCAAGTGAAACCCCAAATTGTTATTGAATTAAAATTATTTAATTATGTACTACTACTAAATCAAAAATTCTTTAATTTACATCAAAATATAATCATCAATATAAATTTTAATCATCAAAATAGTTCATCTCATAGAAATATTAAGAGTGACAATGCAAATCAACATCTTACCACAATTTCGTGATCGCCATGTGTTGTTTTCGTGCACGGCACTGGTACACCATTAGGTCTTATAGGCTCATCACATTTAGTCCTAGTTTTACTGACGTGAAATCCAGACCCGTAACAGTACATTAAGGCCATTGTTGTCGGGAAATAATAGGCACAGCATGACAATATCCTAAAAATATTTATTTCATTAATTGATGAAGTGAACGAAGAAATGGTATATGATAGGGGAGTATGGAAAGAGAAAACATGTTGCGCTGACCCCAGGTGACTGGGAGAAGGGCAAGAGAATGATGATGATGAATTGATCAAAAACCTGGAATATTATGGTCTATGTGAAACCAGATGACAAGAAGATATAAGAATTGCCTTTATTACATGTGCTTCAAAACAGTGGTAACGTTCATTCCACGAGATTTTCTGTATGCTTGATAACATAACTGCATTCGTTAACAACAAATAAAATGATTAGAATAAAAAAACTCTGATTAAATTCTAATATATTTATTATTTGTATCAAATGGTTACAAAAGCTCTGACGCCGCAATCCAATTGTTCCCGGAATCTATGAGCGTCGCTACGCAAATACGTCGTATACGTTAAAATATCAGATAAAAATTTCCATTTCTATAGCTTAAACTGCAACGGCTTTGTAACAAGCAGATGGTATATAGGCAAGTTGGTGGTACAAAACGACGCTCCCAAGCTCACAGTACAGTAAAGTACTTTTTGATTACATTTTTTAATGCACTATACAGCCCACCACAAGATAGTAGTAAAAATAGTAGCGGGTCGTGTAAAAACCCATCGTGGTAGGTAAGTCAATAATAATAAAAAATTGAATCTAACTATCGAGCCACAGCATAATCTACAAACACATAAAATACGTTATACATGTCAGCAAAGTTTCTAAGAAGTTAGGTATACGCTACACGACGATAATAGCAAGATTCCAGGTCACTTGAACCGCAATTTATGTATGAGCTATTATTATGTTGATACGCACCTGAACGCAACCCTGCTGTGGAACACGTCACAAGCCATAAGCCCAGTTGAGTTGAAGTAGTACCCGGATCTCGGCAAAACCATGATTGCGAACAGCGAAACAGAGAGTATCCAAGTTATACTTATGACTAAAACACAACCCTGGAACGAATATTAATGCTTTGATAACAAAAATACTGTATTTAGCACAAGGTATTTAAAATATGTTAGTTCTTTCGTTCTGACAGTTGTTTGGAAGCGATACTGGTCTCTTAAAGTAATAACAAAAAACGGGTCTATTCCATTACCACTCAAAAGCAAAGTACATATTATTTAATACAAATATACGTCTGGCTATGACTTATGGGTATCAGACCTGGACTTTAACTCAGAAGAACTTCAAAAAACTACAGACATGCCAACATAGTATGGAGAGAAGCATGTTAAATGCTATAAGAAAGGATAAAATAAAATTAAAAGATATCTACGTACGGAAACTAAAATAGCGGGTGTATCATACACAATTAAAAAATTAAAGTGGAAATGGATAGGCCATCTAATAAGAAGCAAAACAGAAAAATGGGCTAAATTACTAGTAGCTGAGTGGTATCCTCGATAGGGGAAAAAATTAAAAGGACGACCGTTCCAAAAGTGGGTAGACGGCATAAAGGCCGTTGCAGACTCTACTGGAAGAGAAAATGCTACGACAGGGACTTATGGCAGGATTTTGGGGAGGCCTATGCGAAACCAAAACAATGTTTGCCGATGTCAAATGTTTAAAAAATCTACATTAATAGTATGTACTTAAATACGAATTAAGGTTGTTAATAAAGGCTTCTTTATCTTTATCTAGTTCTTTCATCAAAGTTGAATTTCTTGATTGAATGACACCGTGTTTTTGTAGTAGCCTAAATAGTAGGCTGGCGCAGTCATAATTTCATGGCTCTATTGAGGCAACAAAGACCTGGTAGTTTCTTCTTGGGAACTTATAGTTCAGTTTATTATAAATCTATTCACCACGAAATAATTACGCGTTGTGATTTAATTAGTTGGTCTACTGTAATTGAGACTTAAATTTGTGCATCATGAGACATTCGTGTCGTCTATTTCTTAAAATAATTTAAGGGAGGAACTGCAATATTGTACTGCCATTTACAAAACACGCTGGTTATCAAACCAAAAACAAAAAAAAAACACATGTAAAATGTTTTCAGCATTAGATTAGAATGAGATTGATTACCCGTTAAAAAAATATACTTTCGCAAAAACGTTTAGAAAAAAATAAGTTTTGAGTTTAACTAAAATAACATTTTTCACGTTAACTCTTAAATCGTGTTTAGATTTATACTCAAACTAATACAGCTTTTCTTACATAAGCTACCAGTTAACCGAGAAAATAATTGTGAATATTATTAAAAATAGAAAGTGCGATTGTGTAACAATAGATAGGCTTGTGACAGATTCTTTAATTTTGCACAAATCACATACAAACATGTACATTACCAAAAATCATAAGAATCTCACCTTTTTGCTGGAATGCTTATGATAAGTATTCGGGTGTAACAAATAAAGGTAACGGTCAATCGCCATGCAGACGAGAATAACGGCGTTTTGTTGACTCACGGCTCCCCTCAACAGAGCCTGGGTAATAAAGTTCTTCCTTTAAACTCAAATAAATAGGAAAACGGGTTACTTTAACAAAACAATGAAACATTTCAAAGATTCTAAATGGTCTAAGTACAGATACAACAAAGGAACGTTAAGGAACAAGTCAGCGGTTTCATCAGTCACAATGCTGAAGCAACTTTGTGCTTGGTCACTATAAACCATTAGGGGACATCGTATTATTTTGATAATGTAGCCGAGTTACAAAGGTTTTATTGTTAGGTACGCGTCGTGCGTCGCTTGTGGAACATCAACGACTTTATTACCTAGTAGCAAATAATTAATACAAGCATAAACACGATAGAATTGTTTCTTGTAATTTTTGTTTATTTAATTTAATTTTTTTCTTCTTTTTTTTTATTGCTTAGATGGGTGGACGAGCTCACAGCCCACCTGGTGTTAAGTGGTTACTGGAGCCCATAGACATCTACAACGTAAATACGCCACCCACCTTGAGATATAAGTTCTAAGGTATCAGTATAGTTACAACGGCTACCCCCTCCCTTCACACTGAAACGCATTACTGCTTCACGGCAGAAATAGGCAGGGCGGTGGTATATACCCGTGTGGACTCACAAGAGGTCTTACCACAAGTGCATTTATGAATACTAATTTTACGAATTTACTGTTTATTGAATTTAATGATAAACAGATTTCAAATTAGTTGCGAATTTGATTTATATTTAAATGATTTTTAAAATCCGATTACTGTCTGACTTTAGCACTTCAATTGAGAAGTTTTTTCTGTGTAGTTAACTTTCCTCGTTTTCTCTACGGTTCTTGTTTGAGCGAAGTTTTGAACTCAAAGCCACGTCTAGCTACGACTACATCTTAAATAGATTAGGGAAATTTCCAGTAACGCAATATGCATTCGTTTCTGTTACTTCAAATATAAATCATATTTGTTATGATGTTGCTTATTAAATACGTCGAAATACCATAGAATTGATAGCCTGCTAATTTTAACACAGTATTAGGATAGTCAAACGAGTCTTCAAACGAGGCTTGTGGAGAGTATTAAACGGTAGGCAGCGGCTTGGCTCTGCCCCTGGCATTGACATGGGCGACAGTAACCACTCACCATCTGGTGGGCCATACGCTCGTCTGCCTACAAGGGCAATAAAAAAAAAGTCAACAATTTATATTTCAACTCTATTTTATAAATAAGAAAATTTACATTTGTGTAATGTGAACATCCCAGATAAAGTCTTACCTGTATCTGACAAAATATCTCGCCATACGGCCAACACTTGTAAAGGGCAGGCAGAAGAGCCACTGGAGCTATCAAGATTCCGGTGAACAAATCGTTCAGAGCGAGTGACGTCAGCAGGTATCTTGGCTGTAAATATTTAGATTCACGTGAAACTTTTACAAAGCCTCGTATAACACATATTGTTCATAGTCCAGATAACCACAACAGTAATTTTTATAGTTACCATCATAATATGTTTATTTATTAGTAACCTGACCAATGAGCCAATACTCTATACTATATACTATACTATACTAAGACAACAATACTCTAACAGTGAATGTGAATAAAAACAAAATCCCATAAACAAAAATTACAATATACATATATATTCGTTACATTATTATTGTGTGTATCTAACATATTGAACTCTCAACAGAAAATGTAATCGTGTAATTTTATGATTGTGCTGTTAGGTACCTAAATATTGAAAGTCGTTTAAAATATCTACACAAGTTATTTTTCACATTCTGCTACCTGATTTCCAATATACTTGATGTAACGTCGATTATTCATAACGCAGATTAAGATGAGATTCCCAAGGACAATTGAAGTGGAGAGTGCAAAAATGAATAAAGCCTTTACGATGTCTCCGGGTGCTGGTAGAGTCGAAGGCCAACCTTTGCCATTCATCCAGCACGAACTGTTTGATAGAGAAGGCGCTACCAGCAATGCGCCTTTTGTCGAGTCGAACATAGTCGGCGCATGCAAGCTGCAGCGCGCTCTTCTTTTGAATAAGGCATTTAGACTTCACTTTGTACTGTCTACAATCTTTGTCTACGATTTTATTGACTTCAAACACTTAAGTCTGTGCTTTAATAAATGAGATCTTCATATCTTGCTTGAACTCTGTTCTGTTTTACCTGAAACAATGAATTTTGATTGATAACAAATTTAATTAGTTAAACATAAAATATATCTAGCTTAAGTAATTAGTTTTAGGGCACTGTTGGGCCTATCTTTATTTCTTTCAATTAAAATATTTTTCGGAAAGAAGACAAAAATAAATCAAAAAGGGCATAAAAAAAAATAGCACACAATATCAACGCAAACAAACGAAACTAATGTAATTGAGTGTTAACGGCAATAAAGTATTCCAGTTGCGTTAAAAACGTGGCTCGTAAAATAGAAAAAGCTTTAAGCCCCGGTTACTGAATCAGTTTTACTCTCTTCGCAACAAAGATTATAGTGATAAATTGACATTACCCATGAAAGCTGGGATTATTACTGAAAGTGTTGGAGACGGAGTTTTCGAAAACAAATTTGAGTAATACAAGTACTTTCTACAAGAAGTTTACGATGTAAGATCACATTGATAATACCATCGCCCGACTTCAGATATGAGTTACTTCAATGCTTATGCCTATGACATAGCTTCTATATGACAGCAATACACAGGAAATAAATGTACCTACAGCTAATATTAATTAGTGTTTGCGCAGCTATTAATATCAGAAACAATCAACTGACCAATATTTGATTATATTATAATTATTATTTTGTTAGGAGGTCTTTTATCACATAAATGGATAGTAGAACTCACGACCCATTTAATGGTAAGCGTTCGCGTATTCAATAGAAAGTTGCGTTTGTTGTCACCATTTATGGCGATTCAACACTTCAAAACTTATGGCACAGTTTACCAGTTCGATGATCAATGACTTCTTTGAACAAACTGATGCATTTCATTTCTTCAGGACTTGACCAGAGTTTTGTGAGCGTCGCTAATTTATTTATAACTTGATTGTAACCTTCAATTTTGTTCATCAACACTATCTCGCGTCTTAATTGAAGACTAACACTTGAGGCGAAACCAATTTGTAGGAGACCATTACTCGCATTCGCAAACTCGTTAACAAACCGAAGCTCAACTTTAAAGTGATAAAAGAAATACGAAGTACTGCGAAGTGTCGTGCGTGACAGGATACGGGCTGAAAATCTTTTCACACGCTTCCTCTGAGAGTACATTTCGTTGTTTTATTTCTTTACCAAGTAGAATAATAGAAATACCTCGTACTATCGGAAAAGAATCGATAAACGTAGATACATGACCTTTGATATAATGTACATAGTTCTTTCATACGTTTCATAGAGTACACAATTTTGTACTCTATAAAACAACCCTGTAGAGTTCTAGCGGTAGCGTTTTCAGGTGACAGATCCATGATAGACAAGATTAGACGGTAATAATTACTCTTGAAGCATGCACCATCACCACTTAAGGAGTTAGGTAGAAAGGCAGAGAAAGATAATTTGCTGTGAAGACGAACATTAAGGACTTTAGGAGGATAGTGTCACACATGTTTTCTAATTATTTATAACATAATATTATTATTTTTTAGATAAACTAAGATAAAGTGTATTAGTCTCTCAAAAAACGCCTAGACAAAAGCTCTTATATGAATCAATCATCTATGACGTCGCATGAAGCGTTAAGAGTTTACGTTATCGGTATTATGTTTCCACCTATTTTTTAAAACTTATTCTATTGTTCAAATAAACCAGTTGTGATTTCTATTTAATTCAAACTTGGAAATTATTATTAAAACTACATTTAGGGCTTAGTATTGCATCTATTGGTTATTCTGTTTATTAGATTTAAGTTTTTATCTTCACTAGGATCGCAGATATTAGGGACTCTAAACATCTTCTCTATTAAAATTTGAGTTCTTTTTTTTCTATTTCAATGGCCTAAGAGATGGAATCAACTTGTTTTATTTAGCGAGGTAGATATTTCAATTTTCTGTTACAAAATCTTGTAAGAGGTTGCCACCGCTATTCTAAGTATGTTGACAAACTTCGTTCTAGATTATTGTTGATATGTGTTCCTTAATTCTAACAAAAATGTCAATTTATTCAGCCTCATATAGGAGAGCCCACATTCAATTACAGGATCACGATCTTGCAGATATACTTAATATATCTTAGACATTAACTCAGTTTTTTGTGGGTACAAAAAAAAAATTTCTAATTAATGTCTATTTGGGCGAATATCCCATCTTATTCTTCGAATTTCGAGATATAAATACATATAGCTTGTAAAAGCGCGTCATAGGTAGTTGGCAACGACTATTAGTTGGTTCCATTAGATCTTAATCTAATCTGAATTTAATTAGAGAACATAAATTTGCTTCCTCAGAAGAAAAAAAATATTACTTTTAAATTAAAAGAAAAGGGAAATTTATGAAAAGCATTTTAAAAGCATACGATGGTTTACTGTGAAGCTGTGTTTCCATAAGAGATTTTCAACCGTCGAATAAATTCGAATCAAATTATTTCTAAGGTAACTTCGCAAAGTTTCTTCTTTTTGGCTATGGTTTGAATAAAAATATTTTGCATTAAATTTACATAATTGTTTATGTAAAAGTTAGCCTGTCTTGTATATAAATGACCTAGTTTTAAAATAAGGAGCTACATTTTTAAAATTTCATTTAATAAAAGTCGTTTCATATATTCGTTTTTTTTATTTATTTTAACAATCCGAATTCGAACAGACTTATTATCACGAGATACTATTAGAGGCAGTTTCTTCTATAAGAGCTGTAAATGTTTTGAATTTTATTTGGTGATAAGGATCACAGTCCGTCCGATTTTCAAGGAACAACTAATGGTTTATTATAATCTTAAGTATTTTAAGTACTTCAAAATTTCATTAATCCATTTTTAAAGCAAGAAACCTGTTCAGAAAACAAAACTTCTTATACATAGTTACAAGTTTGAAACCGGTGACCTACGTGAACTGTCCGCTCCGACGTAATGTCCATTTGGCGACGACGCGTCTGGAGTTTGGGCGACCTTTAAATTTGATGGCGCACTTCAAAAAAAAAAAACAAGTTAGACGTTTAGATGTTGATGCCCTTCCATGCACGTACAATACACAGTACTTACTTATTTATAAGGTACACCACATACATTTTTTTGTATGCCGTATCTATAAAAATATTTATGTTTGGAAAGTTTAGTGACCTTCACAGTTTCAATATTATATTATGCACCCTCTAACGAATAATGCTAACAGATTTTTTACCTCGTTTCTTTTACACGGAACAAAAGCATTCCTAAATAATAGAGAGAGTGAATTAAATATCTTTGAGTGAACGCCTTAAAAAGTTTCATAATTTAAAAATTTATTTTTATCGAAATGTCCTATTTATTTCTTCGAGTACCTATCGACACTTTTACTAAAAAGTAGTTTTACTGAGGAATTTTTAATGTATTCCAACTAAAAAAAATATTTTAAGCCTGCATACACATAAAATCTTTTATCATCTATCTTCTTTTAAATATAGAGAAATACATTAAATAACTAAAGTACACTTTCAGCCTTAGCCGGCTTCATAGAACAAATATATTATTTTAAGTAATATAAAACATTTTATAATCAAATAAAAAAGAATTTTGAATTTTTTAAGAAATTTCCTTTTCAAAACGCGCAGGCCTTTGTGTTTAAAGAGATTATAAATCCCACCAAAATTCATCTAAAATGGGTCAATTTAATTAGCAAGTCTCACGGGGCGTCAATTGGTCGCCATTTCGGAAGCTTCATCGAATATTTTGGCCGAACCGCACCGCCCGCTGTGAAAGCTACAGCGCGAATCACGATTCATTGTACCGTTTTCTTTCAACACCAGTGGTTTTTTTGTAACTTTGTTCTTTGTTTTGTTGCTAAAATATTAGGTCTATTGTGCAGATCTTTCTGAACGACATTAAGGAATTGTTATCTTTTCAATATTGACGGAATTTGGTACATTTTACAAATTGTAATTACCGCAGTCTGGCCTCTAGCTTAATTGTTAAAACTCAAAACATTTATAACGTAGATACTATTGTGCCTTATAATCTAATATTGTACTATAACCCCTGTTGGATTATTCATTGCAATCGTCTAATACATAATATTTTATTTACTGTTACTGGCGGTAGTACATCTTGTGTGGCCTAATGGGTAAACACAACCACCCTGCCTATTTCTGCTTGAAACTGTAATGCGTTTCGGCTTAAAGGATGGAGCAGCCGTTGTACTGATAACTGTGACTTAGAACTCATGCCTCAAGATGAATTTACGCTATAGATGTCCATGGACTCCGTTGACCGCTTAACACTAGTTGACCAGTCAGCTCGTCCACCCATCTTAGCAATAAAAAAATAAAAAATCAGATGGGCCGTCACTTCGTCAGCATTCGTCAGAAAGCGTGAGTAGTAATTTCAATAGTAATGTAAAAAATAGTCGATTCAAGTTGATTGAGCATATATGCAAGTTGTTTGACCAGTCGTAAGTAAATCAGTGAACTGAAGTGTTTCAGAATGATTCTAAGGAAACCATAATTGTAATAAAAAAATAATATACGATCATAATACACGGCAATATATTGGGTATCCTAAAACAAAATAGGTCAGAGATGTGTTAACCCATTTGGCTTCACCGAGAACTTGGCATAACGGCCAAGTCCGTCGAGGACAAGTCTTGTTGTGGGTTTGTATGCAACAAAAATTATTTCAGTCTTTGTGCCTCGATGTAGGATTTCGGCTTTATTACAGTTCTTTGGGTTCATGTGCTCGCTGATTAAAATCTTTTGTCATTTTCTTTTAGTTTACAGAATAGTATTCTTGTGAATTTCTCATTAGCAGGTAACGATTTGCTTGTATCATTAAGCCAAAACATTTTTGAAAATAAAAGGCTATGTTAATAAGTACAACAAAGAAAGAACAGAAGTTCAAACGAATTAATTCAAACTTGTAGATTATCTTGAAAATTATGTTAAGTGAAAAGCTTTATCTAGGATTCCAATAACTCTCGTAAGTTTTATTTTCAATTTCTATCCAAATAAAAATATATATTAAAATTATTATACATATTATCGGA